AAAAGAATCTAGCAAGCAACATCATTCAACAGCTTTGAGTAGTGCAACCTCAAACATGGACTTGAAAACACTGTACTCTCAGAAATATTAAGAGAGTAACAGCTGAATTGAATTCTGTATCTGCAATCACTAGGAAAGATAATGTCCACTTAGTCTTCAGTTATCATTGCAGTGCATCTTTAGAGGCCCCAGGAAGTTTTAATAAATTTGCTCTCTCATTAGGCTTTGTTTCCTGTGATTAAAATAACATTTTGACTTATTATTCCCTTTTAGACAGGCCATAAATACAGCATCCAGGATGTGATGCCAGGCAAATGGACAGAGGACACAGCACATTCTGAGGCTGGTTCTTCCACACCCAATCTGCAGATACACGCTAGAGAAACTATATTAGTAGAGAAAAAAATGCCAGAAAATAGTGCAGCAGGAAAGAAAAATGATGTAAAGAAAGAAGGAGTTTCCCTTTGAAATAATATAAAAAATAACATAGCTTGGAGCTTCAAAGGATCAAAATAAAAGAAAGTTTAAGTTTAGATTTTCACCAACTGCTGAGAATAGTTGAAATGTTCTAAAAATAATCCACCCTGGGAAAATGCATAAAATAGTAAAAACTTGGGTACTGTAATTTTCATAGCAGATTTAAATTTAACAGCCTTACTAATAATATGACTATACATTATAGATAAATATGAAAATTTCTTGCAAACATTTCAAAGTATGTAGAGACAAGAACAAAACCTAGATTAATCTATGGTAAAATGCTACTGTAATTTTAAGTAGAAACAAATAATTATCCTAATCAATCCTTTTGAAATTAGTACTAAAATAAGTACTGAATTTATAAAAATTATAAACCAATACTATAATAAAAATTATTTTTATTGTTTAATAAGAATAAAAACAAATTTTAGCTGCACTTTTGCAACAAATATTTGAGAGTCAATGTCAAAATGTTCAACATGTTTGAGGATGAGATGAGTAACAGGATAAAACAGGATGGTGCTTAGGAAGCAGTATGTGCTTAACAGTTTTACTGACTAATTTTATAAATCTAGAATCAAGGATTTTGATACCAATGAAAAATAATACACTGTTTGTTCAACATTTACGAGTCAAATTAAATGACAGTTTGTCACAGATCTAAAATCAACCCCAAAATACATAAGCTACCCTTTCAACGGTGCTTTTCTATAAAATATCTATACTAAGCACTGCCTGCCGTAAAGTAGTGGCATTTGTTTGCTGAATGACCAAATTAATGGCCAAGTAGTTTTTACCTTATCAAAAATACTTTTACCTTTTCAAAAGCAAAGTAACACAAAAATATTAAGTAAAAACAACAGAAGCAAACAGCATGACTCTTATTTAAAAAAAAATAGACATGGCATTATGCACAGGAAAAAAATGACCAGAGGAAAGCAGAAAATATTAACAATCATTACTGTTGCATCATGAGACTGTGGATCATTTCACTTTTCCCGTTAGCACCGGTTTATGTGCTTGGGCAATTTTCCCACTAGGCTTCCCAATAAATATTTTTAAAATAATTTAAGCAAAGAAAAAAGTAACTGATATAGAATTTTAAAAATCTGAACATATAAAATTACTGATTTTTTAAAAATCTAATATACCTTTATCTAAAAATTATTTGAGAAACTTCGGAACTCCTTTCTTTGAAACAGAAGTTTTGAAATGGAAAACAAAAGAAATATTTATGAACAAAAAGATTTTAGACTTTTTTGAGTAACTTCAGTTTGTCAACCTCTCCATCCATAGGATCATGATGGTAAATACAAGGTTTGTATTATTACATAGACTTCTTAGTTGAGCAAATAACCATAGAACCCAAACCATCAACCAAGGGTGCATGGTAGGTGGGGTGAGTGTTCCAGAGGCTTACAGAATTCAGGACTGGCCTCCAAGCCACCCTTGTTTCACAGAGATCTATGGTACTCAGCTGTGCCTTTTACAGAATAACTGAACTACAAAACAGCTGGGAGGAGAAACAAGCCTATGTGAAAAAAGCACCATGCCGACTAACAATATTGTCCATATTAAGCTCTGTATTTTCTCTGAGTCACAGTGTGGGTCATATAAAGCTAAAACTGGCCCCAGAGAAGACGAGTTTCTCACAGATTGCCATTTAAACCTCCAATGACCATGTTTCACAGCAGGATCAATACATTCCAGCATGTAACTGTATTTTAATTTCCTAAAACCACAGGATGTAAGTCTGATTTCAAATAGTGTCTGGACTGTGATATTCAATACTGATAAAACTATACAGTATTCTCTTGAAAGTTTCAAAGACTCAGATTGAAAAAGAATCTTCATTTTTCTTCGATGCACTATTCTCAAAGCAATTTACTCTGAGTTTTGTATGGATTCTAAACAAAGAATAACAAAACTAGAGTTGCTGTCATGAGAATGTAATTTACTAAATTACAGGAAAACAATATGCTATATTTTTATCACTCACCAGGATACAGTATGTGTTCTTGACAAAAGTAGTCAATGTAAGATTTTAAATCTTCTTTGCCATCAAACATCCATTAATGATCTTGGAAAGTAATTTATAAATTTATTAACACTGGGCTGGGGATATAGTTCAGGGGCACAATGCCTGCCTGACAAGTGCAAGGTCCTGAGTTCGATTCCCAGTACCAAAAAATAATAGTAATAATGGTATAAGTTTATTAACATAAACGAATATTTACTTCCATTCAGTACATGAAAATTATTCAGTTACCCTCTCAACTTTATAAAACAAGGAGTATTCGTGATCTCTTTAATCTCCAAGTATTCTATAAGAAAAAAGGTAACCTTTAAAATAAACTAAGAGGAGAAAAGAGATAAAATTGTGTCACAAGTGTGGGAATTAGAAACAAATTTCTGGTCATAATACTATTCAACTGGAAGGAACTTATAAAGATAATGTGAATGTGAAATAATTCAATAAAATGTTCAGCAGTTTTCACCACAAGGTATTGGCTCTGACATGACCTGGAGAAAAGGTAAAACAATTTTTCTGTTTTTGTTTTCAAGGGAAGAGAGGTGACTGGATAGGTATGTGTCTTTCTCTCTGAGACTACTGTCTTTGTGTCAGTGACCTAATTCTAATTCTGAGACTAATTCTAAAACTGAGAAATTCAATGTTGTTTTCAAGTAACATACTGTTTCATCAATTCTAAGATATAACTAAGAATGAAATAATCCCATTCTGATTAATAGTTTAAAGCCTAAGAATGGTAAGTCCCAGTTAAATTACAAAGCCTAAATATCGGAAAAACTTCAGGCCACCTCCAGGGCAATGGCATATGCGTTAGCTGGGCCCCTAGGATGCGCTTCACTAAAGCAACATCATGGATAAGCTGTATCATTCCTGATTTGAAAACAACTTTTCTGGGAGGTAACAAAATGTATTACATAAAGAAATTTTTTAAAAGGAATAATTCAATTTGTGAGGAAAAAGTGTACATTTTAGAACTAAAGGAACTACTGCATTTCTTTCCTTGCTCCCTTGTGTTCCTGTTTAATTTTCTCTATTTACCTCTTTCCCCTCTACCAGCCTTTGCATTTCTTTCCTTCTTTTTTGAAATTGTAGGTGGCAAACAGAAAAATGTGTTCTTAAGAGGAATGAACCAGGCATCTCCTTTGTGATGGATTCTTTTGAGGACTGAAGCTAAATTAAGCAAAATTTGGAACATGAAGGAACTTCACACAGGGAGACATGCATGTCAGCAAAACACAACCCATTCCAAGAGCATCAAAAGCATGCCTACTTAGCAAAGCGGCAGCTGAATGCCTCGAGGATCAGGAGGAAAACTACTTTACACTGCAAATGACTCAGACTACCAGGAGGTAAATATAACTACCCTTTCCCAGAGAGAATTACAGGCAAATAAAAGTAAATACAGACAAAAACTTGTGGTATAAATGTGATACAGCATTCTAATTTGGGTAACAATCACCAAAACAACAATCATAGGGAGTGATTGTTAGAATGCTCATCTTATAATCCTCACCTTAGCTCAAAAAGGTAGATCTTACTGCTATTTTAACATTAAAAGTATAGAAGCTGTTCCTAGCACTTGGGAGGCTGAGGTAGGAGATCATTGTGAGCTTAAGGCCCACTTGGGCTACACAGTAAATTCAAAGCCAGCCTGAACTACATAATGAAACCCTATTTCAAATAACAAAATAAAATAAAACAAAAACAAAAAAGTGAGTAAACTGAGGACAGGGAAATTTTTTTTGGGGGGGGGCAGGGCCGGACCTTAACCTTGCCAGACAGGCCCTGTACCACTGAGCTATCTCTCCCACTGAGCTATCTCCCTGGCCCCAGGGAAAATTTTAACTACCTAAGAACACATCGTATAGCAAATTATTATGGAGCCAGGATCTGAATCCAGGAAAACTGACTCCAAGGCTACACAGTACTTTTAGTGTCTGTACCTACTAATATAGGCTAATATCCAAAGGGGAACAATGTCAAACAAAATATGGCTAAGGCTGTAGTAGAAAATGGGGCAAAAGGGGAGACATACCAGAGATATGAGAAAAAAAACAAGCGAGCATAGTCACAGGACTCCTTATAGCCTGTTTGGCTCCGTGACATCATTCTACACCTGTACTCAGTCCAACTGGTCAATGCTTCTATCTTCTAAGCATTGGCCAAATAATCAATAGTGGACAATTCTATGTACTACGACGGTTGAAAAAGAAATGGGGAATGGTGTCAGTCCTCAAACCATGTAAAGCTAGTCTACCAGAAAAAGGCAGGCACAGTATATAGCCCAAGTACATGAAGATTCTTACTTTTCTGCCAAACTGTGTGGCAAATACGATGTTCTCCCCTGCCTTACATACACAGGTGCACATGTACATGCACATTGTACAACAGATAAAAAATACCTGACCCCTGGAAAGGACCAAGGCCACACACACAGACTATGCAAACAAAGCCAATGATTTCCAGGTGAGCTCTGCTCCAAACATACCTGCTTCTGGGTCCTGGTTGAAACGGCAGTACTTGGAGTTTTCAAGTGGAGGCAGGCACTGCTCAATGGGTACCCAAACATATGTCTCAGGACACAACAAATCAGAAGGTCTATACTGACCCTACAAGAGAAGTGAAGAAAAAAGGCACAGGTGTGGCATTATCAACATGTAACTCCTAATATACAAGGCTTTAGAGTACCAGGGAAGATCTGAACTACAAATTCAGACAAAGTCAACCAGAAATAGCTTCACTGTAAATACTCTGTGACCCTGTTAGTGATCTCTGTCCCATCTTGAGCATGCACAACTGACTGAGGGGTCTCTAAAAGTGACAATGTTGCCATTTAGGATGGTGTGTTGACTTGGAAGATTCAAATTTTTACTTTTTTCTGATAAATATTTAACATAATTCTTGATGAGCTGATTAAGAACACCCATACTGTCTTTTAAAAAACAGTAAGTAACACAGGGAAACTTCTCATATGTTGGAGAATTTTATAACGTGAACTTATTTTTCCAAATTTCACTGTCCTTCATGGAATCTCACTATCTTTAATCAGAAAATTTTAAACGTACAGAATCAGTTGACAATAATATTGATTCCATTCTAATGTATTAAAAAGTACTATCTTATCAACTTCTATAATTAACCTAAACTAATAAATGCACAGTAAAAGTTTACAAAATATAACAGAAATTTTGGAGAAATATTTGTGATAATCCTTAATCTTTCTTCAAAATTCTATTTTATAAAAATGATTTGTATATTTATAACTCAATTATATACCCCAAATACAAGAACTATACAACATATGCTGAAAAAATTATTCACTTATGATATTAAGAGAAAATGATACAAATTATGAGAAAGCATTCAGTAATTTTAGAAACATCAAGGTTTCAAGTTGAACTTAATTAAAATTCCCAGTACCTCTTTGTTAAACATTATAATTCAAAATTCATTTACAGATTAAATTCTAGCATAGTGTTTTTCAGATTTTTCTTGTACCTCATAGTAATAAACACATTTTATGTCACAACCTTGTGAACATATATGCAAATATAAGGCTAGAATAAAAATTTTTATGATATGCTTGCCCATGTTCTACTTTTTTTTTCCTTTTCATTACTGGGGATTGAACTTGGGGCCTCTGTAGTAAGCCACATCCCCAGTCCTTTTTTATTTTTCATTGTGAGATACGATCTCATTAAGATGCTTAAGTTACCCAGGTCTGTTTTCATTTTTTAAAAAATGATGCTCCTAAACTACCAATCGAGTGCTTTCATGAACAGCAACTGGGTCACAGCAGAGAGTGTGAAAAGTACTAGTGCAAAACATATCACAAAAAATATCGCTGACGGGCTCTGCATGTTATATTGCTTCGCATCAGAAATGCATCTATATTAAGTTGAAGCACTACACAGGCTTCAAATGAACACTGTGCTCCACAGCACTCAAAGTATAGCATCCCCACTCTGTAAGCTCATGGGGAGGCAGGACATGAACATGTAAAGTGCGAGGAAAATTCGTTCCTGCTTGCAAGGCAGGGATAGGGTTTAAGGATATGAAGTTTAATTGGGGGGCTGCTAAAAAGATCAAGTATCTAAGTCAGGATGGAAAGGAATGAGAACAATCTAGATAAAAGAAACAGCATAAACAAAGAGCTGGGCCAAGTAGATAATTCTGCGAATCAGTGGAATTAAAGCAATGAAAAGGTACATTGGGACTAGATTCTTGGAGTCTCAAATGTGTTTGGACTTCACTGTAGATGAAATGGGAAGGGGCTGAGAGCACGAGTTTTGCCCTATGTTCCAAGAGGAGCAGGTGAAAAGATAAAGAAGACCAGAAATCAAGTTTCTAGCTCTGGACCTTCCTGGCATGTTTACTGCATTGCTTACTGCCCCATAGCATTAAAGGTCATCTGTAAGGAGTAGTTCCAGGTGATCTACACACTTGTCTAATGCTAAATTTCATGACAGGATTATCTAAAAAGGAATTAATAACTGGAAAGTACAATAGCCTGATACTCCACTGCTGTGTATCTTATCAAGAACAATTAATTCCACTGCTGTCTTTCATAACACAGAAATTCATCTCCCCATTAATTAGAAATTTTATTGGGGGGAATGAACAGTATGGTATAATGCTGTCCACACTATCAACCTGAAAAAGACATCAGTCTAACACAGCAAGTCTACATCTTTTTTTTCTCTTTGGATGATCATTTTGAAAATATAATGAAAAGAAATGCGAAACATAAGGCTAAAGCTATAAAACTTCTAGTAATAAATGGGAGTAAATTTTCTTGACCTTAGAGTATAGAAAGATTTTTTTAAGTAAACAAAAAGCAGTAAACAATAAAAGATGGAAAAAAACCCTAATGAGCTGGACTTTATACAAATTGGTTTTCAAAATTTTAGCCAGGAATGGTGCCTGTAATTCCAGCACTTGGGAGGCTGAGACAGGAGGATCGCCATGAGTTTGAGGCCAGCCTGGGCTACATAAGCGAGTTCGAGGCCAGCCTGCACTCCACACTACACAGTGAGACCCTATTTCAAAAAAAAAAAAAAAGAAAAAATTAAGAAAGCAAATAGGCAAACCAAAGACCATGAAAAAAAAACCCACATACAAAACATGTAGTATTACACAACAGACATATCCACAGCATAAAAGAACGTTAACCGCTCAGTAGTAAGAACACAATTTTTTTAAAAAAGATAAACACTTCATCAAAGATAAATGGATGCCTAGTAAGCACATGAAAAGATGTTTGACATCTTCAGTCACTAAAAATGCAAATTACATCCATAGTAAGTTACTAGAGTGTACCTTACTCCAATTCAGAAAGATGGGGGAAAAATCAAGGTTTGATAAGGAGTTGGACTACATGTAATTTAGATAATGCTGTTTGAGAATGGTACCGTCAATTGATAAAATACATATGCTCTTTCGTGTAATATATGTCATTTGTGAATGTTTCCAGGATAGATTCTTTGAACTGTAACTGGATAAAGAGTTTAACTTAAAAAGTGCCAAATGACTTTCCATAGAAGTTATGTCAGTTTGCATTTCCCTCAGCAATGTAAGGAGTATCCAAATGACAACTTCCCCCGCACCTTTACCAAAGCTGTACACTATCAAAACTCAATCTTTGCCAATCTTAAAAATGGCATTTTGCTGGTTTTCATTTTTATTATGTATCTTTCAATATATGTAGAGGAATTTGCCTTTTCTTTTCCATATAGCTGGACTATATTGTTGTAAACTGCTGGTCTTTTCTTAGTAACTGAAAAACATTGTATATATTGAGGAAATTAACTCTTTCTTCATAATATATTTTAAGTATTTTCTTAGTTTTCTGATTTGCATGTTGTACTCTTTTGCCATGTGCAAATCTGATATATTGTCAAACTTATTTTTAAAAATGGCATGTGGGGTTTACACAATAATTATAAAGACCTCTCTCATGTGAAGATTTTTTAAAAATACTATTACATTTTTCTAGCATTTTAATATATTCATTACATTTACATTTATGCTCCATCTTAAATTCATTTTGGTTTAAGAAAAAGATCTGATTTAATTTCTTTCAGGTGTTTACTCAATGGCCTCAACATCATTTTTTGAACAATCTTCACTTCCCTCACTGATTTAAAATGCTTCTTTGATAAGTTGCTAACTTCTACATACGCTGAGTCCTCTTTCAGAACTTTACACTGATCTATCAGTCTAGGCATGTGCCAGTGCCAGATGGTTTTAACTATTGAAGTTTTATATTATATTTTAATTTCTGGTATATCTAATTATCTCTCACCACTCTTCATTTGCTGAATTTTCCTGTTCTTTTTGCTTAGTTATTCTAAGAGTCCATACTTGGTGAAAAAATATTACCAACATAAATAAAAAACAATAAAAACAGACTGTGATGGCAGAATATAAAAGAGAATCCCAAGAATATCTACTGAAAAAAAGGACAGATGTATATCATCTTAAGTTAAAAAAAAAAACTAAAATGTATAAATGACACAATGTTCTACTGTAGGGTGGAAGATAATGCTAGCGTGGAGGGCAGATACTATAGTGGGATTGGAGGTAATCAAGCCTCAGTTTTGCATCCTGAAGGTCAAAAGAGACTCAGTTTTCCCTGTCAACACATTTCACACAAATATACAGATTCATCCTCAGCTACCTGAACCCAGTGACTAGATTTAAGAATAATATCGACAATTAAAAATACTCAGTAGATGAACATTAAATGAATCCTCACTATGTGATGTCACTAGTTTACTAGTAACAAAAAGATGAGCAAATGCATGCCTCTAGATGATTCACAATACAGTAAGAGTGACAAATCTGTACAAAGCTGAAGTACCATAAAAATATATTAACTGTGATAGGGTGTAACTGTTCAAAGGTCCTAAACTTTGACAATATTCCTTGAAGGTAATACCTGCTCATATGTGTTAGTATTTTATTGTTCTTTTAAATACTCAAGTGATCTTACTAAAAGATCATCAAGATACACATTCTGCCTTCTGCTCATCATTTGAAATCAAATTTTTACATGAGGTTAAAACACTGCTTTTTTCCCAAAGTATGTACTAGCTTATTTCAGTGCTTCAGATAGTCTCTCAAGCCCTCAAACAATGCAGTTTTATGAAATACACCACTTTGAAATGTTATGCTTCTAAATTAAGCTGGTTGAGAGTTGAATGACCAAAGTGCTTAAACTCAATTTAGAGTCACCATCACACAAATGAAAAGCACAGGGATTTGAAAGCTACCCTGCCTTTTCACCATTGTAAGAAAATGAAAAATGTTTGTGTTAAGAATGTAATTACTTAAGGATTTGGACATACTTTCCCGTGGTAAGAAGAAAAAATATTTAATCAACCTCTAAATACATTCATTCAGATTGGAACAATGAGGTAAAAGCAGATTAATTCTTTCCTAGGGTGCTGACTTTTTGTAAGTAAGAAATTCGAGTTTTCACAGATTTCCTAAGTACTCAAAATTCTGAACATGTAATTGTTCAGACAGAGCTCACCTCACAGTGCTTTGGAGAGTTCTTTCAGTGTGATGTACACTTCAGAAGATGAGCTCGGGACCCCTTCTGTGC